CCCACTTCTCCCTTCATCCTTGTTTCTTCAACTGCTGCAAACTGAGTTCAAAATGCAGAAATAGGAGATTATCGCACAAGCATAAAAACACAACTTACTTCTCCTGAATTCAAGTAACATTCGGGCCGCATCCAGGTCCTATCACATGGCTTTTCTTGCCAAATCCACCATCCGAATGCAGCCTGAGTGTGGTCCAGCTCACTTAACTCGCTTTGTGGCCATTTTTCAAAAGTCAGAAGCTTCTGACTTTTGAAAAATGGTCATGAAGCAATTTAAGTGAGCCAGACTGCACTCGGGCTGCATTCAGATGGAGGGTTTAGCAACAAAAGCCATGTGATAGGACCCAGATGCAGCCCAAATTTTACTTGAATTTGAGAGAGGTAAGTCGTAGTTTTATGCGTGTGTGATAATCTCTGTAGTTTGTACTCAAACAGCAAAAGGGAGAGAAGAGGAGAGGGGCTGATGCTTCCTTGTCCTTCTGAGTAGGATCATTTGGATCCCCCCCACCTTTTCTAAATCCATACCTAAATTCCAGGGTTTCTCTGCATAAAATAGTAGTTTTATATTTTCCCCCTCATTAATAATTTTTGCCCTCTTGTTGCCTTTTGACCACACTCTGATGCTCCTTGGTCACATGCATCCCAGTTTTCATCTGTGAAATTTTGGAGGGCATGCACACATAGAAACACTACTTATACTGTGATATAGTGAAAAGAACAATACTTCTGAGGAGATGTAGGACTCTAAATCTCCTTCCTTTTACCCTCCCCAAGGACTGACAGCATTTAACACCATCCTCCCCAGCTCCATTCCCCAGTTTCAGATTATGTGAAGAAGTAGGTGGCATGCTGGTATTTACTGTCTTTGGGAATCTAACCTTAGTCATCCTGGCTTGGAAAAAGGAGGGGCAATGCCAGAACTGTACTCCTCTTAGGCCTGAAATGGGTTGACTCTAGTCTGACAACAATACCAAGCCTAATGCTCCGATACAAAGGTATTCCCCCCACAACAGCCTCAATTTGGCAGAGACAATCCTGATTAATCCTCTGTTTTAACACCCCCTCAACCAAATTATTTTCCATAATAATTATGAAATACCAATAGCAATAGCAAGTACATTTCTATACCGCTTATCAGTGCACTTAAGCACTCCCTACCTGGTTTACATTGTGCAAGCTAATCGCCTCCAACAAGCTGGGTACTCATTTTCATGAAGGGTGCAAGGCTGAGTCGACCCTGAGC